CCAGCATTCCTGTGGGTTACTCAAATAGTCTTAAATTCCATTTTAATTTACCTACAGTACTTTTGAGTATTTCTCTGTATAGCTCTTTAAGTGGTTGCTTTACGTATTATATGTATACACTATATACAATATGTATAAATATATATCTTATCACATTTAGGTATTACTATTATACATATTATTACATGTATGCACACACGAAGGTACTTCAGAATGTTTGAGATAAAACTGAATTGAAAGACGGTAAGAATCCTTCTGGGAACTTTTTGAAGACTCCTCGTGTGTGTGCATACACGTATGTGTATTTTACCACAATCTATTAGTGTCATTTTACTAGTTCATTTGAAGTATAGAAACCTTATCTCTATGTATATCCCTTTACCATCCCTCATTTGTAAAAAACTGTCTTAAATGTTCTTTCTACATACATTTGAAACATATTAGACAGTGTTATTTTTTTTCTTCAACCCTCAAACCTAGTTTAGAAAACTCAAGAGGTGGAAAAAAATGTGTTTTACTTACCTATATTTTTACTCTTTCCATTTTTTTTTCTTCCTCCCTGATGTTCCAAGATTTAACTTTCCCTTTCTTTTTAGAGGATATCCTTTAGCCATTCATTTAGGGTAGACTTGGTGGTAAGTTCCCTTAGTTTTTCTTCATCTAAAAATATCTTGATTTCCCATTCATTGCTAAGGGATATTTTCACCGAATGTTGAATACTGGGTTAATTCTTTTCTTTCAGCACCTGAACGTGCTGTACACCACTTGCTTTTGGCCATTGTGGTTTCTGTTGAGAAATACACTGTCATTTGATTATTTTACCCACATACATAAGGTATCATTTCTCTTGTTGCTTTCAAGATTTTTCTTTGTTTTTAGTTTTCGGAAGATTGACTATGATGTGTTTTGTAGTTTTCATTGGATTATTCTGCTTGAATTATTAATTGAATTATTATTCAGCTTCTTGAATTTGTAGGTTTATTTCTTTTCCCCAATTTGAGGAATTTTGAGTAACCTTCTTCTACTTTCTTTAGTAGTTCTTCTACTACTTTTTTTTTCTTTCAGTTCCACCCACTTTCTCTTCTCTTGGGATTCTGGTGACATAAATGTTAGATCTTCTGTTACTGTTCCAAAAGCCCCAGAAGCTGTTCTCCACCACCGCTGCTGCCCCTCTGTCAACTTTCTCTCTGTTGTTCAGAGAGGGTAATTTCTATTTTCTATCTTCAAGTTCACTGATTCTTTCCTCCCTCTCCTCCATACTACTGTTGAATATTGTTGGACACTGCTGAACCTGTCTGAGCTTTTTATTCTGGCTATTATATTTCTGAGTTCAAAAATTTCAATTTTTTGTATCTTCTATTGTTTTGCTGAATGAAGCTTTCTATTTTTCTGCTAAAACTCTTCTATTTTTCCATTTGTTACAAGCATGTTTATAATTGCTCACTAAATATTTTTATAATGGCTGCTTTAAAATCTTTGTTAGATAATTCCAGCATCTCTGTCATCTTGGTGTTGGCATCCACTGATGGTCTTTTTTTCACTCAAATTTGTGAACTTCCTGGTTCTTAATATAAGAAGTGATTTTTTGATTAACCTGTACATTTTGGGTACTGTATTACAGGACTCTGGATCTTATTCGAAACTTCTACTTTGGCTGGCTTTCTCTGACTTTGCTCCAGAGAAGAAAGGGGTGGTGCTACCTGTTATTTCTAGGTGGGGTCCCCAGTTGGCTTTCATTGAAACTGGATGCAGGAAGGGACTCCTTGTCACTTCTGGGTGGGTATGGCAGTTCCAGCTCCCCACCAGGCCTTTGCTGGTACCAGCTTGGCTGGGAGGGGTAAAATGTCTCACTGCTGCTCCCATGGGGAGAGGGTGGACTCTTCACTACTGGATAAAGGTAGTCAAAATTCTGATTCTCCTCTAAGCCTCCTCTGATGCTTCCCTGGTGGAGAGAAGGAGGGTGCCCATCACTGCCAGGTGGAAGTCCAAACTCCTCTCATGTGGTCTCCACAGAACCCAAGTAGGGAAATGAGGAGTGCTCATGGCTGCCTAGATGCAATCAAAGTGCCACTTCTACACTGAGGCTTCTCTGACGCCACTCCAGTAAGGAGATGTGGGCTCCTAGTCACAGCCTGTTGAGTGAGCGTGGAGGTCTAGGCTCCCCACTGGACCTCCACTGGGCAGGGTTGGGAAACAGGTTATTCTGTGTTGTTGGCCGAAGTAGGAGAGTTGCTGAATAAAAGTTTTCTGTCTTATAGAATGCTCCTTTCTTGATCCTTTGGCTAGAGAGAGCAGGCTTTTATTAGGGCTTTTTGTGTCTCCATCCACTAGTATTTCTGAGCTGCTGGCTTCTTCAGCTCCAAGTCTGGGATAAATGAAGTAAAAGGAAAACTCAGGAGTTTCACCCCCTCTCGTTCCTTTGATCCCAAACACCTGAGCCAGTCTGCCTTATTTGCTTCTCCTTTCAAAGTCTTCTTATGTTTGTTTTCTGGACAATGTCCAGGCTTTGTAAGTCCATGCTTTAGGTTTTAGTGTTCTTTTTAATTTCCAGGATTTCTTAGATTTCCCACAAACTGTAAAACTAATACATGCCCACACATATGCACACACATATACATACACATACATAAAACAAAGTAGATCTGGTTCAGTTCTACTAAAATTTAACTTGCTATTCAATCTAAGTTATTCTAAGAAGTGTTTCAGAATGAAAGACACCTGAAAACTCAGTAACCAAGATATATAATTTAGGCTAAAATATAAATGCTGTGTATCTAATCACTTAATATCTATGGAATTTGATAGTTGTAGACCAAATCCCATGTAGTTGTCATAAGCTGTAGCTTTGTATAATTTCTATTAAACATGAGGCCAGGAAAACATTGGCATCAATCTGCTAAAATCTAAATTAAGTTATAGAGCAAATCACTGCACTCTCCTATAAGCCAGCCACAGTTTGGGGGGCTAGTATCTCACTAACCATCAACATATCCAATGTTCTTTTTTCAAATTTATCAAGTCAGTCTTGAACAAAATTACTGGTACATTCTTTTCCAAGAATTTAAGTTTCACATGTTATTCTGTATCAGGAATGCTTCTATTATACTTTCTTTTTCTCAGAACAATTCTTCCTTACTCACAGACATAATTTCAAAAGCAATTTATTGCAAAAGCTAAGTACAACATCCTGAGCTTACAGTTGACGTCCCTTTCCATAACAATGTTTAATCTCATCTGTAACAACCACGGATGATCATGATGACAATAAACAATTACAACAGTGATCACTAATTAGTACTAGCCCAAGGACTTTATATTCACTACCTCCTCCAATTCTCACAACAGTCTGACAAGTTAGGTATGACTCTTAATATTCATGTCCTCCTTTCACAGATATGGAAAACTGAGATGCGAACAGGTAAACTCAAGTTCCCAAGGGCACCCAACTAGTAAGTGGTGAAAACAGCATTTTTAGGTGAGCTCTTAATCACTATACTTGCCTGACTTCCAGGAAAAAACTACAGCTTCCATCCCTGTCTCTAATCAGTACTTGTTATTAACATGAAAAGGAAACACGGATTGTCCTCTTTCCAGGGTCAGAAAATAACAGGGGAGCTCTAGTTCAGTTATCTCAGACTTCTTCCAGGTAGGTTCTCAAAGAGAGTGTTCTGAAACTCAAACCTTTTCGCTTACTCCCACGACTTAAGGAAAATTACACTTTCTTCATTGTTTCTTCTACTTACAAAATACATGCTAAGTATAAAAAATTCAATCCCCACAGAAATGTATAATGTGGTCAGAAAATAAATTCCTTACTTAACTCAAACACAATGGTTGATAGATGCTTCTAGAATTTTTCTAGTATAGAGTTATATCTACATATTCATAGAAACAACTGTACACATATAATAGACATAGCACAGGTGTGTACATGAATTTATTTTACAAGAGTAAATTCTTCATATATTCTTCTGCAAAGCTGCCCTTTCTTATAGTTTACTTAGGAACAGACCTTCAATTTTAATTGATGTGAGTATAAGAGATTTATCTATGCTCCTATTTTTTTATAGTTTAATTGGCTGCTTTCTTTTTCTTTTTAGTGGTACATAAAAAATGGTGAATCTTGATTTTAGGATGATAGAGTCAAAGTACTGCATTTTAAAAACTGACTACTGTTGATTAGGAAAATCACATTATCTTAGATTTCCCAAAATGGTTTGACTTGTAGGTATTTTTTTCCTTTTTAATAAAAATTATTTATAAAATGTTTAGCTATATAAAATTTAAGTTTTATAATTTTGAAAGATTTTCACATGTACCTATTCTCAAACTTCGATCCATATACTTTGCACCATGTCAAAAATTGACCTTAAAATGGATCATAAACCAAAATGTAAAATGTAAAACTATATAACTTCTTAAAGAAATATAGCAGAAAATCTTAATGACTTTGGGTTAGGCATCAATTTCTTAGCTATTACAGCAAAAGCACAATCCACAAAAGAAAAAAATTGATAGATTTCATCCAAATTAAGAACTTCTGTTGTTTGAAAGACACAGTTAAGACAATGAAAAGAAAGGCCAAACTTGGAGAAAATGCTTGCAAATCACAAATATGCATCCAGAATATATGAAGATGTCTTAAGACTCAACAATAAGAAAACTGCAAACCAATTAAGAAAAAACTGTCAACGAATTTACTAGTTTTAAGAACTAAATATATTATTTATATATCATACCATAATTTATATATACACCATAATTTAGTTGTCTAACCTTTTAGGGAAATTATTGACCTTATACTTCTTCAAATGTTTCAGACTCAATGATTAACATGGCTAATTACTTTTATTCAAAGCTTGTTAAACCTTATAAAAGAACACCCTCGGTGTGTAATCAATCCTTTTAGATTTAATTTACATCTACAGATCCTAGCTGGAGAGAAGGAAGGGAACAGAAAGAGAGGGAGAGATTTAGCTAGAAATAAAAGTATACTTTACTCTATAAAATAGACTTCTCCATTTTCGGTATAGGCCATCTCCCAGTTTTCAGGTAGAGGACCTAAATTATCCTCTGCAGAAAGAGGTAGGTATTGAGGGAACTTCTGAGAAGGGTCCGTGATGGGAGCAGCAGCGATGCTACTATTTGCGGATGGTAGTGATGTTTCCTGGAGAGGGTGCTCGTCTCGGTCACCAGAATCGGCTATTTAACATGTGGGGTGGAGAGAGAGAGAGAGAGAAAGAGAAAAAGAGGTGTTCAGTAATCATTTCCCACACCTGGGAAGTACATTACTGTACACACTGTACATATCTATATTATTAAAAGCTCTTATCTTTTTCTAATTGCTGGCCATTGACTATGACTTCTGTTTTATTTAGATAAATGGTTCTTAAATAGAAAGCAGCAAAATGATTGACGCAATTTATTTTACTTAAGTAAAATATCACAGAAACAGTACACGTATAGATACAGTACATATATATGCATATATTTTACAAAAATCAGATACTTTATATATTCTTTATATAAAGAAAACAGAGAAAGAAAGAGGAGAAGAACATGCCCAAATATTGTATTGCCCACAATCTTGGAAATGTTAAAGAAGAAACCAATTCATGACTCTTAAACTAAGAAGTCTGTTAAACTAGGAAGGCCATCAAAACACAGACTGATCTGCACCCTCATTCCACAGGAATCATTCTGTTTCATGATTCAGCAGACTTTTGGGGGCAATAAAAAAGTATGTGGTGAAAACACAGACATAGTGGCATTGTTACCCATTTTTGTATAAATTGTCTAAAACATTTTTGATAAACACTGGCAGAGATCAAAGACTGACAAATTAAACTGGAAAGTATACAACAGTTTAAAATATGGAGATAGCTGTACCAGTGAGTCACATTTGAGCCTCTTTTGGAAAAGTAAAGAAAATGTTCCTGTGAAAAGCAGGACAGTTACCCCCAGAACACTCTCATATGGGTTGAATGATTTTGACTCAGGTCTTAAAAGAAGGCTCTAAGTACATGAGTCTCCTTGCTTTCTTATTAACAGGGGTGACATCATCAAAGTATCCACAAATGGCATTGTTGACATTCTAGTTGAATTTTTATAAAGGCCGATGATATTAAATGTCAATCTCCATGGGGCTTTAAAACATAATAATCAGGGATGTAGCGATTTTCTATCTCCCACAGTATTTTTCCTGTAGACATTTTTGATTTAGTAAAGAAAGCAGACTGAAAAATAATAAAAAGCTCTTTCATCCCTGATGAGCTGCTCCCAAGGACACACATGAAAATGAAGGTAATACAAAAGTTGGATGAAGGACTGCCAAGCCTACTAAACCACCACCTCCACCAAAAATCCACCCCCACAGAGGATGCTACCTGTAGGGTTTCACTGCCCTGCACCTATTACCTCTTCTTCTAGTACCACCACTGTGCTCTCATTTTAGAAATCACCCCCTCCATTCCATGTCCATGTAGTCTAATGGGGACTGACTCAAACTTATTCTTGGATACAAGTCACACTCTTTGCTATCAGGAGTAATCTATCATTTTTTGCCTTTGGGACTGGTTCAGGAATAGGTTTGTGATCTAAGACAAACCAATGACTGTCAGCTGAGACCTCATTATGCTACTGTCACTCAATTCTTGAAGTGGCCCTATTGCTACTTAAAGTGGCTCAGAGTGCAAAATGCTTTGACACAGTTTCATACATATATCATGGACTGGATAGTGTCAATTACTGGAAAGAATTAGTATGAGTTAGCATGTTGCGGACGTCAGCTCTCATGGCTGTAGTTTTGCAAGTGGGGGGGCATTTATTCAACATACTCTTTACATACTGAGGATGTCCCCCCACATGTATATCTCAAAGCCACTTCTTTCCCAGTGCTGGCTTTCCTGGTGTCAAGACAGGAACTTGAAGAACACAACTGGGTGTCACTTGACTTTCCGTTTTGTGCAGAAATAATGATCAGATTGATTGTGGCAATGATGATGTGGGTCCACAAGTTGTTCTTTGATGCCAGGATTTCAAGTGGGGATTTTAAGGGGTCAGATTTTCAGAGGCATGGCTTCTATAGAGACAGAGATGTATAGCAGTTAGGAACAGAAAATGTATCAAGACCCACAGTCAACTACTTCTTTGTTCTTGCTTTCTACCTCTACCAAGAAATCTACTTACTAAATGGAGGACAAATAAAGAAACACACACTTCTTGAGGACCACCAGTCTGGTTGGAACTGTTTCAATGCACATTAAGTCCAAGGTCTTCTGTTTCTGAGACCACATCTACATTTTGGGTTATATCATAATTTGCTATTCGTATTTACTGAAATATCAGGACGTTAAAGAATTAGATATTTTTAAAAGAAATGTTAACACTTTCATAATCTGTTTTCACTTCATTGAGGACTTCTGTAAGTGGATGAAATATTCCTAAGTGGATGAAATCAGCTGATTTCAATAAAAGCATATGTAAAAGATGACAAAATTTCTTCTGGATATTCCAACTATAGGTCAGCCACTGGCCTAACCCATTCTAGTTGAGAATATAGAAATGTTCAAGGAATCACATTCTTAGAGCTAGAAGGGAAACCTTAGAAACGATCTAATCCCAGCCAGTCATTTTATAGATGAATGAGGTAATGTTCATAAAAAGACTGCTACTAAGAGCCAAGCCATGATAATAAGCAAATGTCCTTTTTCACCCCATACTGCTTGTAAAAGGGTAGGGCTAAACTACTGTTATGGTAATAAAGTCATAAAAAAAATCTTTATTGCCATCTTGGCAAATTTTAGGCTCTGAGCTAAAATTTAGTTAATAAATGACAAAATCTCAGAGAGGCCCACACAGGCTATAGACAGCATTCAACAATAACAAACTTCTCCCCTAAATACTATTAGATTTTGTAGCAGAGAGGGAAAATAGAATCTGCTAATCTCCCACTTCACTGGGGTCAAGTCTAATCAAGTAATGATCTAAGTATGGTGAAGTGAGAAAAGGCCATTAAGAGAGAGGAAGATCTCATATGCTGAAATGAATAACCTGCTGATAACTTTTATTCTAAAATATTAAAGAAAACATTTAAGTACAGGAAAAATAGAAGAAACAAGAAGTTTTTAGTTACAACATTAAGGACTGGCATAACTCAAGTTTTATGCAACTGTTCCATTTCTGAGTTACCACGTAGGGTCAAACCCTCATATAGTGAAAAGTATTCAGAATGGTTCTGGGTCACTGCACTAACCCAAGGAACATACATTACAGGCTCTGTAAACAGTTCTAGTGCCCCCTGAAGTTGTGCAATACCCAATCTGTTCGGCCTCACCCAGAGACGCTATCTTTGAAAATCTCTTCACAAAATACAGCATACCTACGCTCGGGGGGGTATCTGAATGCAGATATAAATATATAATGCAAGCATTAATACATGCTATTTAATATAAAATGCATATGCAAGATAGAAACTTAGAATATTTGTTTTTTCATCTTTCCTCCTCTTAGGGCATACACTAAAATCTGCATAAGTTAATTGAATATATGATATTCTTCCACTATCTCTCTACTTACAAAAGTATGAGATAAGAAAATGCTGCTGGGGCCGGCCTGGTGGCGCACTGCTACAGTGCGCTGCTTGAGAGCGCGGCGGCGCTCCTGCTGAGGGTTCAGATCCCACATACAGACCGGCCGCAACACCGAGTGTTGCGATCCCGTTGCCGGTCCCGGTCCGGTACGGGCACGACACTGAGGGTTGCGATCCATTGCCGGTCACGAATAAAGACAAAAAGGAAAAAAAAAAAAAAAGAAAATGCTGCTGATTATTCTTGACTCCCTTCTATACACACACACATTTACCTCCAGCCCCTTTAAGATATTTGGGTGAAGTTAAAATGTTCCTGTGAAGAAGCACAAAAAGCAGATCAAGAAAAGAACCACCTTTTCCCAAAGTACTGTGTGGCCAGAGTTTGAATTTTGGTGACCTTACTGAATTCCTCTTGAGAACAGCATCCTTTCTCCTAACTCTTTGCAAAAGTCTCCCTACCACCCCCTTTCCCCACATTGACTGAGGCGGGA